AAAAGTAATTATTACAATTTAAAAAAGGATAATGCTCTGAAAGCATTTTTTATCCCTTTACTATAGTCTCATGAATCCCCCCACCTCCTTTCAGGCATCTTCTACCATTGTGCATATTTTTACCTTGACCTATGCTGTGCAATTTTGACATTTTCCATAGAAACAGAATAATCCAGTTTATTTATCTTCACTTGTTTATTGTTCATATCATTACTACTGGCATGTGTCCTGTATTGTAAACAGAGCTAGGGTGAACTTGCCTGACTCCAGTCTCCTTGACTAACAGTTCAATTTGGCTGCCAGCCTTACCATTATCACTGGTGTCATCCACTTCTGTATACCTGCCCTTCCCTCCCTCTCTCCACCCTTTGCTCTCCTCCAGCTCAGGTTCCTGCCATTCTAATCTTTTCCCTTTTTGAAAGACCTCTCCTCACAGTCAAAAGTGCACTCTCTCTCTCTGAAAGAGCTGACCTTCCCCATGAGCCTTCCTGGAGCTGTCTCTGACTATCCCAGTTACCAGCTGTGACCTTCTTCACTTTTCTCTTGTGTCTAGGTATGCATCTTATTTTATCTTAAATGGGATGCTGATAGGTCAAGTGAGTGCTTATTCAGAGCCCAAGAAACCAGTCATGGAAGGCCTTCAGCACCCGTAAGGCCTTCATGTTACCACACACCATTCTCTCAGTTCCCATTCCAGACAACCCAGTGTACAGAGGGACATGCACTTTTAGAAGCCCTGATTAGGGTCATTTCTTTTGCTTATTGTTCTCCACATGTTTATTGTTCATATCATTACTACTCTAACTGGGGACATTTTTATCCTCAAGAGTCCAACAAATTCTTTTATTAGCTTTTATCCCAGCTTGATAAGGCTCAATTTTGCTAATATTGGAAGCTGTTCAGAAAAAGAGAGTCCTGCCAAGGGTTGGCAAAATATCCGTGGAGTTTCCAAACATTTGTCCTCCATAGAATACTCCTCCATTGAGAGTACCTGTAGTTTCCTCTCAAAGTGAAAAGCTAATCTCCAAGAGTTCTCAATCTCAAAGGTTAGAGGGAAGCACTCAGAATTTTCAGACTGGTTCTGTTTTATCAGTGCGTCCCCAATCCCAGGGTCAAAGTTCAGAGAATTAGAAGTCAGAGTAGCCCACTATGAACCAGCAGTGACTGAGAAATCTCTAGCCTGTGGCTAGGCCTCCTTACCTCTAACTTTTCCAGTCAGTCTGTTGGAACCTCTCACCCTTACAGGAGGCATCAGGACAGTAAAGAAAAGGTGTGTTTCCTTACTCACCTTTGTAACAGAACCATCTTCTCTATCATCCTCCTATCCCTTGAGAGAAACTTCCCTCAAAGGATCAAAGGATCCCAGACAGAAACGGTTGACCAGAGCCTCTGGATTTCTTGGGTAAGATGTCTCTGGGGGTATCTATTTGCTTCACAGTTGAACACTGAGTTCATTCATTCATTCAGTAACAGCCAGTTTCTCCAGGGCTCAAGGTACCCTGCTAGGTAGGAAGTGTGCAAAGATCAGGAAGAAAGCAATCTACTGAGCTCCCTAACTTCTCTCTTTGCTTTTGTTCCAGGTGAGGGCTTCCACAATTATCACCATGCCTTCCCCTATGACTACTCTACCAGTGAGTACCGCTGGCATATCAACTTTTCTACATTCTTCATTGACTGCATGGCCGCCCTCGGTCTAGCTTATGACCGGAAGAAAGTATCCAAGGCTGCCATCTTGGCCAGGGTTAAAAGAACTGGAGATGGAAGCTACAAGAGTGGCTGAATTTGGGGCTGACCAGGATCCTGTTCCAAAAGCCAGCTGAATAAAAGTTTAATGTTCTGTCAATTCACTACTTCTTAATGCTACCAGGATGCTAAATGATGACCTTAACCCATCCCAGAATGGTATTCTTGTAAAATGCATAACTATTGAAAGGCAACAACTCTCCTTTACTCTGTTAAGCAGATATTCTTTTCTTCCCTCTCTTTTCATCCTATTGGTTTTTTCATTGCTTTGTTCCTATCACCTTTCTCTTCTCCCTCATTGCTTCCCAGGCAAGGTGCTGGTCAGCTGTACTATGTGTCTTGCTTTCAAACCCTATCACCTTTTCTAGAGTCTAAAAGTAAAGGTATTTACTCCAGAAAACTGTCTTTTCTTGAGCTGTCATGAGCTTAAAGATAAGTGGCTAAAACTAGAGATGCAACATCTGGGATGTTACTAAGTATCATCAGCACATTTGCTCCATGGATGAAAAAATAACTTTATTTGGCACAGATCTTACAAAGCAGATAAACTATCAAGAGAAAGTTAGCATGCAGGGTATGACTCATAAGTAAGGATAATGATGAATTGGAAATGAGGTGCAAGGAAAGTTTTTGTGATCAGACCCATTTGCTTACCATTCAGAGACATGGAGTCGTTCTCTGTCTGACAGTGAAAAGGAATTGCCTTGGAACTTGGCAATGCCAGAACCCAACACTGAATCTTACTGTCTCGATGTAATTTAGCCTGAAAATACAGAAGAAGCACTTACTTAGTAGGAAAAGGGGTCTTTGCTGGAGAACAATTTTATTTTTCTTAAGATTTCTTGTTTCGTAATACAAGAAATCTTCAGGTTGGCTATGTCCAGACTTGATATATAAAATCACTCATAGAGTTTTGGGCATTCCGTGAGCTGCTCCTCCAACTTCTTTCACTATTCTCTGCTCCCATATTTTTGATATTAATTGCACCTCTCAAAATAATAAGATGACTGTGTAATTTCCAAACAGTCAAATCAAAAAGGGCTTTAGAAAGTGGAGGTGTAGGGGGATATGGCTCAAGTGGTAGCGCACTGGCCTGGCATGCATGCGGTCCGGGTTGGATCCTCAGCACCACATACAAACAAAGATGTTGTGTCCGCCGAAAACTAACTAACTAACTAACTAAATAAATAAATTCTCTCTCTCTCTCTCCTTAAAAAAAAGAAAGAAAGTGGAGGTGTGTCAACCAGAACATATGTAGACATGGATACTTTGCTTGGATCTTCAAAATATTTTAGAGTATTTACTTCTGAAAGAGGATGTTGAAGAAGTTTGAAGTAGAAGGGAAATTATACAACTTGCCTAATCCTCCCATTGCTGGACAGGTGATGGAGAAGTTGAGGGACAGCATCTGTAGACAGCTTCTGCAAAGAAACTTTCCAAAGGGCTCTGAGAACACAACCAGGAGATT